TTTTTTTAATCCACTATTCACTGATACTTTTATGAATAGACAAATCCTAATTGGACCAGTCCCAGTCAGCACTGACAGGAATTGCATGGCTCCAGGATTTGCAAAGGTGACTGGAGACAAAAACAGGGCAGGACCTTCTCAGCAATTTCTCCAAAAGTAGGAACAAGATGAATATACAGGAAAATACATAGAGGAATACATAAGTTGCTGGCTTAAGTAAGCTGCATGGCATATTTTGTGTAACATCAAACCATCTCCCAGAGTGGGAGAGGACTTGCAGCAGATGCAATTTATTTGTTGGTGATAAGGGAAAAATCAGTTTTCTGAGTTTCTTGACTTTATCCATGGTCTGAAGATACTTAACTTGCAAATGAAGAAAAAGTGGTCAAGGGAGTCATACCAGTACAGATGCTTAAATGTGAAATTAATTAATTAGATACTCTGTGATGAGCAAATATAAATAGATAAAGAACAAAATTGTTAATTGCGCATACACTGTGAGAAGACTTAGTAATAACTGAGAAATTGGAAGCGATCATTAGCAGGAAGATACTTGACAGTGTTTTTACAGAAATATATGGCTGAAGGATTCACATGATTGAAGCACTGAAATGACTGGGTAACGTGCCAGGAAGAAAGTGACATTTGATTTTTGAGTTAAGAGAACAGGTTTTACAATTCTTGTGAACTGATATTTTAGCCAACAAGGAATAAACAGAGGGTGTCTGATGTGGACCACCACATGAAAATTTAAAGCCTTTTTGCCTAACAGATAAAGGATGTGTACTGCTTCAGAGGATTTCATCCTCTTTACCAATTTGATGGTAGCAAAACATTCTGGGGATTTCTAAGGGTAAAATAAAGGCAGCCAGGCCAGTGTCTGTGTCTGACACAATCTTTAATAAGCAGTTTGCTGCAATTCTCCTTTAGGCCTCCTTTTATTTAAAATAAGCTGTTACATGGGCATCTGTTATGCATAAACACAGCGTAGTACCTAAGAAAGAAGAAATTTCTTAGTGCTGAGAACTGGAAAGAAGCAGGCTTTACAAAATATAACTGTAGCATAGAATCATGTTGAAAACGTATGTGGACAACATGAAACTTTCTATCAGATTGCAAATTAAATACTTAGGTGCCAGAAATAAAGGTTTTTGTGAAATCAAAAGTTGGCCTCAGTGTGTCTATTACACTACAATTTTTAATTACATGATTTTCTTGCAATAGTTGCCCTGCTTTGGAGGGGAGTGGGTGGTGGGTGGTTGGAGTTTTTGTGTTTGATTTTGTTTGTTTGATTTTGTTAATTTTTAATGTTTTTTGTTGTTGTTGTTTGTTACAAAAGGTGGGGAAACTGTCATTTTCATGCCTCACTGATACACAGGAAGAATTCTGAAAGGCTTACTTTAACTAATCCAAATTGTTCAATATACGGCCTTATTTGCATCCCCATAACAAATCCCTAGACTGAAAAGTAAAAGTTATTTTCTTAGTATGAGTTGTTGCTTCTTTTTTTTTTTTTTTTTTTTTTAATAGAACTTGAATGTTACAGTTTCTTAGTGTTTCCTCAATACTTATTAATCTGTCCTCACAGTTTTACCATGAAGGAAGAGCACCCTGTGTTACTGATGGGGAATGCAGCAACAAACAGACTAAGGTCAGAAGTACCACATTGCTAAATACTGTAATTTGAAGCGCAGCTTTGCTTGGTTTAAATCATAGCCAGCCAAACTCAGACCTCTGCAGCTCCTAGATGCATTTCTTTGCCCTACCTCTCCAGCACTGGCCTTCCCTGTGCACTGCAGGGACACCAGTGTCAGCTGGTCTCTGCCTCCCACATGAGGGCAAGCCTTGAACTTCACACTGAGTGGAACTGTCCACTAACTCTTTCCGACCTGTGCTGGGAAAAGCAAGGAGCTGCACTTCAATCTTCAGCTAACAAGGGGACATTTGCTGCTGCAGAAGTAGTAAAGAAGGATGTCAAGCAGTTGCTAATATTGTCCAAGATACCAATTCTGTTGTAACACACAACCTGGCCTCAAGCTTTCTTTAAGAATGAGTTCTCAAAAATGTGGAAATTGCTTCCAAAAAAATCCCAAATCTTGGAGGTTTCCAAATCTTGGAAAGCTGAGGACGGTCCAGAGACAATGTGAGTATGTGTGTTAATAAACTGCCAATACACCAAATGGATCCAAGTAGCTGTAGTTGTGGTATGCAAGTACCAGAGAAAGCCACGGAATGATACAGTATACAAGCGTGCAGAAAGATTTCCTGTGAAACATATTTTGACCAACAAACTTGCATATCAAGTTGAGAATGACAAAACATCATTTAGCATATGATATTCTGGTTAAAAATAGCATTACACAAAATCAATATGGCACCTATTCCTGTTGGCATCCTAGGAATGTTCTTGGTGTTATGATAATCAATTTTCTGGAAGAAAATGAGTTGCTGGAAGGTTTGCTGGTGACAAACTGCTGGACAAGTCACTTGTACAAATAAATCTCATAGTTCGATTTATTCTAGTGCAAGACCAAGTGCACAGGAGTAAGGAGGTAGATGGTGCTTTTAGGCAGTATGGATTCAAAACATGGTGTAGGTTGTTTCATAAAGAGACATCCCCACAAGGGCAACACACTGTTGGGTCTGCCTGTAGGGATTGGGCTTCCCAACCTGCCCAGCCTATGGAACTGGCTGCTGCTGAGGGAGGTGCTGAGGTTGCAGCTTATGGCCCAGTGCAGGCAGGTCACAGGGTCAGAAGGCCCAGTTCAACATCACGTAGAAAAAGGAGAGGTGCAGTGGAAGTGCCTCCAGGAATGATTCTTGAGGTGAGGGCAAACTGGCCTTATTATTTTACAAAAGAAAAATGTGATTAATCTTAGACCCTGTGTGTGGGAGAAGATTGCTGATACATCCCCTTAAGCTAATAAAGGTATGATGAGAACTAGTGGTTGGAGGTCGGAATAAGCCAAATTGTTACTGAATGTGAAATGCACCTTTTAGCAAACTAATTAATGATTGGAATGATTTATCAAGAGATGTGATGGACTCTTCATTACTGATGCCTTAAAGTCGACACTGCTGGATGTCATTCTGAGTGAAAGGCTGTAACGCAACAAGTGTTATGAAATTTCTGGTTGAGGGCTTTTAGCCCAAGGCCAGATCTTGCCATCTTAGAATGTATAAATCCACGAAAATTCTTTCCAATTTATTGCAGATGTGTTGCCATTGCTGTGTAGTATACATTAGATGTATTAGGTTGATCTTCAAAGGTTTGCTCGGAGTGACCTCAGGAAATTTATGAATATGTATAGAAAGTGGGGTGCCTAAAGCAGGGTTAAGGAAAGTTTTCCATTTTGCCTGTATCTCCTCCTGTGTGGGATCTACCCGAGATGAAAAAGATCAGTGAACTGCTGCTCTGGGACTTTGCAGACCAGGGATGTGGGTGGGCAGTGTGAACGTGTCCCCATGTGGGTGGAGATAGAGCCTGGGAGCAACGCAGAAAGCCATGGGCTGCCTGTGGGAAGTGTCCCACAGCCACTGAGATGTGGAGACAGCTACTTGGGAGAACAGGCGTGGAAAGGACTCGCTTCCCGCAGGCTATTCACAGGGTTGCGACAGCCCTCGGGGAAGCTCAGAGTCCTGCCGCAGCCTTAATTTTTCCTTTTTTTGTTTTTCTTTTTTTTTATTTTTTATTTTTTATTTTTTATTTTTTATTTTTTATTTTTTTGGTAACTCGAGCGGTGTCAAGCTCCCAAAAACCCGCCAATTCTGCGGTAAAAAGAAACCGGTTTGAAAAAAAACCAAAAAAAAACAAACCACAAAAACGAAACAAAACCCAAAAAACCCAAACCCCCCACGACTTGTGCTCTAGCGAAACGCCCCGCTCCTGCGTGCCGCAGAGCTGCCGTGGCCCGGGCTGGCTGCGCGTGTGCGTGTGCGGGGTGCCGAGCCCGAGTGGGAGCGTGTTTGCGTGCCGCGTGTGCGCGGGGGAGGGCGGGGAGAGTGCGCGGAGCCCGCCCGCGCCGGGCAGCGCTGCCAGCGGGGTCCGCGCGTGGGCCAGGCGGGTCGCGCGTGGGGACGGCGCTCGGGCCGCGGCTGCCGCCGGCCTCCCCTGCCCGCCCATGGGCAGCGGCCGCAGCTCGCACCCCCCCCGCGCCCGCCTTGGCGGCTCCACCTGGGGAAGGTGCCCGACCCACAGGCAGCGAACCCTGATGCCGTGAAGGGGGAGCTCGGTCCGGCCCCCGCCGCCGCACACTTTGCTCTGCCCCCGGCAGCGCAGCCTGCCCGGCGGCTTTGCCCGAGCCGGAGGAAGGGCGCAGGCGGCACCTCGCTCCCGCGGCGGGGGCTGCCCCGGATCCCGCGGAATGCGGCATTAGCACCCCCGCCCCGGCTCGGCACAGCTCCCCTCCTCCGCCTCCCCGGCTCTAGGGGGGGCTTTTTCCTCTTCGGCGTTTTCTGCCGGAGCATCCCTTCTTTTTTTTTTTTTTTTTTTTTTTTCCTTTTCACCCTTTTGGAGGAGGAGGAAGAGGGGGAAGGAAGGAGGTGTTCAATGAGGGCTGCTCGGCTCCCCGCCCCGCGCTTGAGAGGTGCTGTCCCTCCCTGAGCGGAGAGGGGGGGGAGAGCTGCCGGGGAGGCAGAGGCAGGTCCCGCTCCCTTGCTGTGCCGCCGGGGAGAGCGGAGGAGGGTGGTGGGGAGCGTGTCTGTGTGTGCGTGGTGGTGGTTATTTATTTATTTATTGCTCCTGGTGGTTGCAGCTGGCAGACCTGGGAAGGAGTAGGCG